AACGACGGTAACCGTAAAATGAGAGGAAAACAGTATCCAACCTAACTAAAAACAAGTCGATTGAAATCCCCAATTTTTGAAACCCTAATTTGAAACCAAAATTTCCCGAAATCATTGAAAACTCAAAACCAAACGGTAAAACTAAAGGAAAACAACATCCATCCTAATAAAAACCCATTAAATCGGCAAGAAAAGCCTTCGATTTACCTTGGTCTTGTATCGGATCGAAATCGCCTCGAAATCGCCTCGAAATCACCTTTGAGAGAAACGGCGATAGGGTTTTCTGAATTTCGCGAAGAGTGCGTAAAAAAAAAATCTTCTTATATATGTCCGGTAAAAAATCCGGTTAGGTTTAAAAGTAATTCGGTAAAATCCGGTTTGGAGACTTATAATTAAGTCGTCTATTGATGCTCTACATCCGACTAAGTCGTTTGCCAGATATATATTTACCAGACGACTTAGATATAAGTCGTCCAAACCCTAAACCTGAAACCCTAAACTAAATTGACTAAATTAACTAACTAACCACGTTATAAAATCAAATTATACTTAAATAGAATCTACTATATATAGAAATAAACACACTTTGGTAAATTTTTAATTTTTCAAAAAAACATTTATGCTTTCGAAAATCTGACCCTAAGAAACACATACAATACTACAACATATGTTGGCAAACCCAAAACCAAAGAATATCATCACTCACTACTTTCACTCATCTATGTTAACAATAATTAAATTTTGTTATATCTTAATTTATATCTCTTAAAACTGGTGTTAATTACATGATTTCAATTTTTCATTTATCTAAATATTTTTTACAAATTTTTTAAATTATTTTTAAGAATAACTATACCAGACGACTTTCAACAAAGTCGTCCAGACGACTTAGTTGAAAGTCGTCTGAATAGAATACTGACGGGGTTAGACGACTAATAATTAAGTCGTCTGACAAATCTTCCGGCTGGATGACTTTCCAGACGACTTAAAATATTAGTCGTCTACTAAGTCGTCCAAGCTTTATGAGTATGTTTTAAGAATTTGTGTTAGAATTTGTGTTAGACTTCTTAGACGACTAATAATTAAAATTGGTGTTACCATGGTTTGTACATAGAGGAAAAAAGGAGTTGTAGTTATAAAAGTTGATCACCCATTAAAAGTCATAGGTTTAAAAATATTTTGAAACAAGGGAACAACAACATAGAAGTCATCCATTACAAGTCCACTAGAAGCAGATTACAATAAGACAATAGCAAGACAAACATCCATCATTTAGGAAGAGACGAGGAAGTTGAGGCACCATCCGCAGCATCATCCCCTTGAGGAGGTGTATACTGAATCTCAGTAAAACTAGGACCGAAAGGAGTCACATGAAATACCATGTCTCCTTCCTTTTTGAACACGACAATGTCACCGATGCAAAGGGAGTGTGCTTGGGCGAAGGCTTCCCAACCATTGGTGAGTCTTCTTCCTTCTTGTATAACTTCCTAAGTTTGGTGTGAAGCGTCCGATCGTAGTGTCAATTTTCCTTGGTTCGCCTTGCCTTCTATGTGTTTTGAGTAGAAGGCAAGTGGTATTTTCTACAAGTCAACAAAGGAGAAGATAAGCAAAGGAAATAAACAGAGGAGAAATAGAGAGCGTTTGTATACCACGCCACTGTAGAAACCAGGAAGCAGAGGCTTCAAGAAGTGAGGTTCATGCTGATTCGCCATCTGCAAACAAGAAACGAATTGGAAACATTTTAATTATAAGTCGTCTGGGTCGTCCACCTGGAAGACTTTGCACACGACTTAATTATAAGTCTACCAAGACTTCCAGTTGAACATTTGAAAGCTGACCAGACGAATGAGAGGAGAATAACATCCAACCTAACTAGACCACAAATCGATTCAAATCCCCAATCTTTGAAACCCTAATTTGAAATGAAAATATCCACAAATTGCTTGAAATCACAAATCGTAACCGTAAAATGAGAGGAAAACAACATCCAACCTAACTAAACAACAAGTCGATTGAAATCCCCAATTTTTAAAACCCTAATTTGAAACCAAAATTTCTCGAAATCGTTGAAACACAAAACCAAACGGTAAAAGTAAAGGAAAACAACATCCATCCTAATAAAAACCCATAAATCTGCAAGAGAAGCCTTCGATTTACCTTGGTCTTGTATCGGATCGAAATCGCCTCGAAATCACCTTTGAGAGAAACGGCGTTAGGGTTTTCTGAGTTTCGCGAAAAAGTGAGTCAAAAAAAAAAACATCTTATATATGTCCGGTAAAAAATACGGTTAGGTTTAAAAGTAATTTGGTAAAATCCGGTTTAGACGACTTATAATTAAGTCGTCTGTTGATACTATACATCCGACTAAGTCGTCTGCCTTATTAAATATATTTACCAGACGACTTAATTATAAGTCGTCCAGACCCTAAACCCTAAACTAAATTGACTAAATTAACTACTAACCACGTTATAAAATCAAATTATACTTAAATAGTGTTTACTATACACAGAAATAAACACACTTAGGTAAATTTTTAATTTTTCAAAAAAACATTTATGCTTTCGAATTTCTAACCCTAAGAAACACATACGATACTACAACATATGTTGATGAAACCTAAACTAAAGAATATCATCACTCACTACTTTCACTCATCTATGCTGAAAACAACTGAATTTTTTATATCTTAATATATATCTCTTAAGACATATGTTAATTACATAATCCCAATTTTTCATTTATCAAGATATTTATTACACAATTTTTAAATTATTTTTAAGAAAAACTGTCCCAGACGACATGCGAGGGCTAGAAACGTAAAAAAATACTATTTTTTTGTTTGTTCACAAGGGGTTGGTTGTACTTTCAATAGCCTTTTAAGTTACTTTTGCATTTGATTAAAGTTTGGGTTTACTTTTGTATTTCAAATCAAGTTTTGAGTCATATTTGACAATTTTCCCTATTATTAATCATAACATAAGTAATGATATACAGCAATATTAAATATTTTTGCTTAAGTAAACGAATATATAACTCATTTTTTCTATTAATAACAATATATTATTTTTATATGTAGACGTGATATCTTGATTTCTTCGTGTGAATTGTTATCCATTTGTTTAATTAATGAATAAATATGTTAAAGAGAGATTTTATGACTAATGAATAAATCGGTTAAATTTTATTTAGGAGTATTCCTTCATTAATTTAGAATGTTTTAGGCAATGCTAATTTAATTTATTATACGGAAATAAATTAGTGGTATGTCATTGTAATTATTAAAAAGCAAGGACAGGACTCAAAATTTTCAAAATAGGATCATGTTTTAATAGTATAGATTATAGAAAAACTATAAGTAAAACTTCAGCTTGACCCGCACGTTCGTGGGGATATTAGTTTTCTTTTTATAAATTAATATTTATTTTTTAGTGATTAGAGTTATATATTTAGTTACCATATAACTAATTGTATATTAGTTATTTGACTATTTTGGGTTCTTCTTAATACCTGAACTGATTCTAATTTAAACTTTAATACTCGATATTTGAAATAAACGATTCGTATCCGAACGGATACTTTAATATCCAATTCTAATTGATTTTGTAAATATATAAAAAACTTTATTGTTAATCGTTTAACCTGTCGAATTGTTATATTTAACATATAAAATAAATTCTATCGAATTATTATTTTAAAGACAATTAATGAATTAGTTAGGAAAAATAAAAAAATAAATGTATAAGATGAAACACTTAAAATAGGTAATTATTATTTTGATAAATGCTATCGGGTTATTTGGAAAATATAATAAATGAAATAGTTATAATTATTTAGAAAATACAATAAATGAACTGGTTATAATTAGTTTAAAAGGAAATAAAATACGTAAGTAATCAGTTAAGAAAAGGTAAGAATTTTTTTGTATTTCTCTTTTAATATAGTAGATAGCTACTCAAACTCTTATATTTTACAATTCGTTTTGTTCATACTACTATGTCACATCTTTAAATATGTATAACCTTTTTTTTTTGTATAACCATATTTCATATTATATGTAGAGAGAATTATGCAAATGCCCAAAATTGAAGCCTATATTAGGTAAATGCACATGAGTTGACATTAAGACAATTTTTTCTACCATTTGATTGGTGTTGGACAAAAATGTCATTCTGAATCTTATTGCCTATATCTGACACTCTCTCTCCAACTATTCTTACTCTCTTTCTTTAAACCACACATCTCTTTTTCATATTCATTTCTTTCTTTTTACACTATTTTTTCTTGATTTTTTTTTTCCCATCTACAATTTTATATGTAAATGAATTTTAATTTTACTCATTTTGATAGAGAAATGAAACTTCAAAAATATTTATTTATTAACATATAATACCTAACGCATGTATTGACCTTTACAAAATTTATTAACAACTAACATATTTGTTAACACTTATAATACATGTCTTGTTAACAGCTAATATATCTGTTAACATTTACAAAATTTGTTAACAGTTAATGCCTCTGTTAATACATCTGGTACATGTATTTGTTAACAGCTAACATTTTTGTTGATATCTACATTATTTGTTAACAGCTAATATAAGTGTTAACATCTCGGCGATTTTAAAAAAAAACTTCAATGCTGATTTTTTCAGAATGTGGTGTAATTAAAATAATTTAGATTCATAAGAATAGTAGTAAAATAGTAATAAATTTTTTCGCAACAATCAATTTTACACAAAAAAATGAAGGTATTAATTTGATAAGAGAGTTTGAGAATGAGAAAGAAGAAGAATTGAAAGAAAGAGAGTGTCAAGAGAGAGAAAGTGTCAGGTGAGAGAAAGTCACATGCTTGTAAAAGGAAAGGCAATTTGGTCATTATATTTAATTATGTCACATCGTGTGTATTTCACTAATTAAGAGTCTCAATATGGTGTTTGAGCAAATTATCTCTTATATGTATCACGTGTTTATAGAATTACATAAATCCCTTATTTCACGTTCATAGTGTACCCGGAGCTGATTTTCGACCACTTCGATTATCCCCTCTAACCTTGAGCGAATCTTTTCCGCCTTGAGATCTCAGAGATGGTGGCCAGTGACGGGACGAAACCGCCATGTCTTTATGATGCATGAGACTCTCTAAAGCCTCCACAACGGCGGGCATCTTGGGACGGTCTTTAGGGTTAGGGCTCACACATTGTAAGGCGAGAAGAGCTGTATCCTTAGCCGCCTTGACTGAGTATTGACCCGCGAGCCTCTGATCCATAACGCATCGGAGACGACGGCTGCTCATTAGGTAAGGCTTTGCCCAGTCGATGATGTTTTGCTGGTTTTTTGGCCGTGACTTATCTGTGGCTCTTCTTCTCGTTAGGAGCTCGAGTAACACGACTCCGTAACTGTACACGTCACTCTTTGTCGTTAAATGACCTGAAAATTTGGATTTCATGCATTCCAGAATTAATCAAATGAAAATAATTCCAAAATGAATGCCTACTCGTTCAGTTATGACACGTTCAGGACTATGTGATTTATTCATTTTTTATGCTCTGTTTAAGACTCTCAATTATTTCATTATGTTAATTAATATGCTTAAACAATAATTGAGCAAAAAACGAAAAACATAATCGTCTATGTTACCTGTTGAAACATATTCAGGAGCAGCATAACCATAAGTGCCCATGACTCGAGTTGTGACATGAGATTTGGATCCTTCTGGTCCCATTGTAGCCAAACCAAAATCTGATAGCTTCGCCGTAAAATCCTGATTTTCTTAAATTACATTAAACTAATATTTGTGATGAATATATATATTGAGAAAATAGGAGCTAAAATTAGAGAGTAGCTGAAAGTATACCGAATCGAGTAGTATATTAGAAGTCTTGAAATCTCGGTAGATTATTGGACTCTCTAAATCATGCAAGAACGCTAAACCCTTAGCAGCCGCGACCGCGATTTTCAATCGGGTCACCCACGGCAGTGATATTAAAATCTCTGTTCAAATTAATTTGGGAGATGTTTTATAATCCCCTATATATTAATTGAGGAACATTTGAAAAGATGTAACCTCAATTTTGTATTAATTAAAAGAGGCCCCAATGCATAGGTGTCATTCAATTAGGTAGTCAATTAGATTCAATTGAAAAATAAGTAAATCCACATTGGATTTTTATAGGTTGATAGATACATTAGTTAGTCAAACTATATGATATAAAGATATGATATGCTATTTTCTTTCCATAATAAAACCTACGTAATTACCATAAATGACTAATATATATATATGACACTTAATGATTGTTCCCTAAGATATAATTACTATTTTATTTTATTTCCATAAATAAAATCTACGGAATTACCATAAATGACTAATATATATATATATATATATGACACTTAATGATTCTAATAATAAATATTTGATAACAGTTTATATATCCCCCATCATTTTTCTTTAATTTTATATTATTAAAATAAATTAAACAATCAAATTAGCTATAAAATTAAACTTTAGATTTTTTAGTATAGGTTATATTTTGAATTTTAAGAAACGACGAGAATAAATAACTAAACTATTAAAATTATTATGTTAAAAATTAATGATCAATAGTTTAACATGTTATTATAAAAAAGATATACATGATTTTAAAACCATATAAGTAAAAAGTATCATTCAATACTAAAAAAATATATATATGCAGATTAAACTATATACCATATAAGCTTACATAAATATTTTAATTTCAAAATTTTCAATAAATTTTCAAGAACATTTATAAATTATAAACTTATTAAATTTTTCACATTAAATTTTTTTGTTATCAATGATTTAAGTATCTTAGTTCTTTTTTAATTTTATATTTTTTAAAGATATTAACAATCGATAATATGGTTATTTTTGGTATATACCATACAAACCGAATGGATGTGATTTTATAAAAACCATATGATTTGGATATGGTTTGATTTATAATCGATTAAATTGAAACATGTAAATATGTATATATTTATAACGACGCATGAATATCTATTTGTTACATGAGTTGAACTATAATTATAATTTATAAATAGTTAACAATTTATTACAACTAAGACTTCTTATTTTGATCTTTTGCTTTTTTAACAGTAACTAAATTGAAGTAAAGATTATAAATTTGATGGACAACAATTAGTTGAAATTCTTTACAACTTTTTTTTATCTTTAAACAAACAGAGTTGTGTTCAATCGAAGACATATTGGTTTGATGAACACTAATATGGAAGAATATAAAAACTTTTCTTTCATGCTTCTGTTTTGTTTTTAATTTTTATTTTCAAAATTTAGTGTTTTGATATTAATTCTAGATTTGATCATTTTATTAGATGATAGAAGCCTTTTTTGTTTTTTATTCTTTTACTTAAATATATAATATTTTTTAATAAATGACTCTGTGACAATATGACTCTAAATATGATCATATTATATATTTGTATAATATATAATATAATCTCAAACTAAATAATTATGTTTTTTGGTATAAAATTGAATAAACTGAAAACCGATGGTATATAAACCAAATCAAACTGAAGTACATATAGATTTAGAATTAGTTATATTTTAATGATCGAAATACCAAAAAATCGAGCCGAACCGAATTCTGATATCCGGATTGAACACCTTTAATCCGAATGAAACCGAACTATTGTTTCATATTTAATAACATAATAAAAAAAATAGCTTCATCCCGCGCAAGGCGCGGGTCTTATCCTAGTTTAAAAGAATTGATAATACTAAAACTATATAACAAGAGACAATGACTACGAAAATGATCGAAAATGTTCTTACGTTTGAAGAGGTGGTTTTCCAAGCTACCACGTGGCATGAACTCGTAAATGAGGACTCGTTCTTCCTCCTCGCAGCAGTAACCGATTAGTTTGACTAGATTTGGGTGCTTTAGTTGGCCAAGAAGTATGACCTCAGACTGCATATGAAATAGTCATCTGTTAGTTTTATGTCAGATGTAATTGTATCCGTAGAGCAATAAATTAAGAAACTATGTTTATATGTATAATTTTAGAGTATATCAAAGTGGTCTCACCAACTATTATAGTCCGTCAATAGAAAAGATTCTTATATGTTTTCCGTGACACCAAAAATTTCAAACGTCAAGATCATATGATAGAATATATGGTTCGATGATTATTAATAGTACAAGAGATGAGAATATATACAGGACAGCACAAGGGCTTCTAGGTATAGCTAATAACTCTAGTTTCCTATATTACAGGGATTGTGATACGGGACTTAAATGGGAGAGATATCACATATCCTTAACACGCCCCCTCAAGATGGAGGGGCTGTAGCAACTCCAATATTGTCTCTGAGTTCTAGGAAACGTGCTCGTGGTAGAGGTTTGGTCAGTGCGTCGGCCAGTTGATCTCTTGTATTGACGTGGGAGACACGCAAGGCTCCGCGTTGAACTTGTCCTCTTACAAAGTGATAATCTAGGGCAATGTGTTTCATCCTGGAGTGAAAGACAGGATTCGCACATAGGAAAGTGGCGCCAATGTTGTCACAGAGCACAAAGGGAGCTGTTGGAACTTTGATGCCGAGGTCAGTGAGGATGTTGCATATCCAGGCAAGTTCGGAGGCAGTGTTTGCGACGGCTCGGTACTCTGCTTCTGTAGAGGATCGCACAACTCCATTCTGTTTCTTTGAGCTCCATGAGATGGGGTGTTTCCCAAGGTAGACTATGTAGGCGTTGGTGGAGACAAAATCGTCTATGTCCCCAGCCCAGTCCGCATCTGAATATGCTTGTAGTAGCGGTCTGTTGCTGGCGCTGTAGAAGACGCCATGAGTAGGGGTGCCTGCGAGGTATCTTAGGACTCTCTTTGCTGCTTGCCAGTGATCCTCTGTGGGTCGGTGCATGAACTGAGAGAGGCGGTTGACGGCAAAGGCAATATCTAATCTTGTGAATTGAAGATACTGGAGACTTCCGATTAGTTGACGATACATGGTGGGGTTGGAGAGAGACACGCCTGCGTTGAGCGTGAGCTTGGTTGAGGATGCCATAGGGGTGGTGACGGGTTTGGCGTTGGACATGTCGTACTTGTGGAGCAAGTCAAGAATGTACTTGCGTTGAGACAGGTGTAGACCTCTGTCTGTGCGGTGAGCTTCAATGCCTAGAAAGTAGTTCAAGTCTTCCGCATCTTTGACTGAGAATCTGTCTGCCAGCAGTGTGAGAATGCGACGGATGTCATCTTTTGAATTTCCTGTCACTAAAATATCATCAACATAGATCAGGAGGTAGATAAAGCCGAGTGATGTCTTGAGCACAAAGAGAGAGGTGTCGGAGAGGGAGTTTGCGAAGCCTAGGCTGAGAAGAAACTCCCGTAGCTCATTGTACCAGGCTCTTGGTGCTTGTTTGAGGCCATATACCACCTTCTTGAGACGGCAAACATGAGTGGGTTTGTCTTGATCCTTGAACCCGGGTGGTTGTTCCATATAGACTTCTTCATTAAGAGTGCCCTGAAGAAATGCATTATTGACATCAAGTTGCTGTATACACCAGGAGTTACTTACAGCAATGTTGAGGACGAGTCGCAGCGTTGTCGATTTTATAACCGGACTGAAGGTCTCTGTGTAATCTTGACCATATTGTTGCTTGTAGCCCTTGGCAACTAGTCTCGATTTGCAGCAGCGATGAGTGCCGTTGGAGTGGAATTTGTTTTTGTGTAGCCACTTGCAACCGACGACATTGTAGTGAGGCTGTCGAGGAACCAGATCATACGTACCGTTGCGAGCAAAAGCATCAATTTCGGTGGACATAGAGCCCCGCCATCTCTTGTCGCGTAGTGCTTGTGCAAGGGTGTGCGGTTCTTCCGGAATTGAGTTCGACAAGGCTGCAGAGTAGTTGTACTTCGGGTTGGGTTTGACAATCTGATTCTTGCGTCTCGTTTGCATCGGGTGATCATTCGCAGGCGGTGGTGGTGGAGGAGCCGGCGATGAAGAGGAGGGCGTTTGTTGTTGAGGCGAATGATCTGTGATGGAGTTTGTCGCAGCGTTCGAAGAATCAGCCGGAGTAGTGGCATCTGAACCCGGAGCTGTTGAACTTTCCTGTACCTGCAGGTTAGAAGCTGAGCTTGAGGATCCCGTTTGAGGCAGTACGAGTGGCGGTGGAGGTATGGCTGGTTGGGGTGGGGTCGGTTGGGTTGGGTTGTGTGGGAAAAGTGGGGGTGGGTTTGGTAGGTCTGTGTGAATCGGGATTGTAGTAACTGGTGGTGATGAAGAGCCGGTTGTGGTTTCATCGTTAGGGGTCGGAGCGGGCTTTGAGAGCTTGGTGAAAGGGAACTGTTTCTCGTCGAAGCGTACATGGCGAGAGATATAGATCCTTCCGGTTTCTGGTTGAAGGCAGAGGTAGGCGCTTTGAGTTGTTGAGTAGCCAAGGAACACACATGGTGTTGATCTATCCTCGAGCTTGTGTTTTGTGTAGGGACGCAGCCATGGAAAACATAGGCAACCAAAGGCGCGAAGCTTGGTGTAGTTGGGGTGGGTTCCAAACAGTTTATGGAATGGAGTTTCCATGTTAATAACCGGCGTTGGGAGGCGATTGATGAGGTAAGTAGCGGTTGCAAAAGCATATGTCCAGTAGGACTTGGGCATCGCAGCGTGAGTAAGCATCGTCATACCGGTTTCGACAACATGTCTGTGTTTTCTTTCGGAGACGCCATTGTGTTCGGGTGTGTGTGGTGGTGAGGTAAGGTGAGAGATGCCAGCTTCAGCGAGGAGGGTGCGTAGAGCAACGAACTCACCACCATTATCGGAGTATAGGGTTCCGATTTTTGTGGTGAAGTAGTTCTCCACTAGTGCTTTGAATTTCTTGAAAGTGTCGAGGACCTGCGACTTGAGTTTGAGAGGGAAGAGCCAGGAGTAGCGGCTGTAGTGATCGACGAGAACAAGATAGTATTTGTATCCGTCGATGGAGTGGATAGGAGAGCTCCAGAGGTCTGTGTATATGTATTGTAAGGGTTTATTGGAGGTGATAGTGTTTGTAGAAAAAGGTAACTTGTGGGTTTTATTAATAGCACAATCTGAACAAAGAGAAGTTTCTGATACAGATTTTGCAGAAGGTAGAGAAAACTTTGAAATAATAGACTGAAGAATAGAAAATGATGGATGTCCTAGGCGGAGGTGCCAATCAGACATTGTTGTTTTTGGGGTAGAGGTTGCGAAGAAGGATTGAAGGGTAGAGGTTAGGGCTGGCCACTCATACAGCTCATCCTTGGTCTTGCCTTGGATTAACGGGATTCCCGAGCTCAGATCCTTCACCTGAAAGTGAGCAGGGAAAAATTCAACAGAGACTTTGTTAGTGTTACAAAGTCGATAAACCGATATTAAGTTCTTTCTAATATCAGGAACACACAACACATTATTTAGTTTGAGTGCTCGAGTATAAGAAGGAAGTGAGAGGGAACCAGTGTGGGTGATTGCTAATCCCGAACCATCGCCAATCAGAACTGCATCATCACCTTGATATGGAGCTTGCATTGTCATGTTGTGAAGGTCGCTGGTGAGCTGGTGCGTAGCTCCGGAGTCCATGAGCCAGGCGTTTGTCGGATTAGGCGATGTGAGAGCCATGTTCGCACGAGGTTGCCACGCCGTGGTTGAAGCATTGGGTGGCTTGGAGTTTTGTTGCATCAGTTGAGGGCACGTTCTCGCACTATGTCCGAAGACACTGCAGATCTGACATTTGCCTTGATATCCTTTGGAGTGGCCCTGTTTGTACGCCGGAGACGCACTTTGTTGGACGCGGGAGTTGTTCCAGTTGTGTTGGCTTCCTCTTGGCTGGTTGTATTGGTGATTCTTTGGACGGTTTGTGGCCATGTGAGCACTGACTGGAGCGGCAGGGTGGTTCGGCGCAGAGAGAGCAAGGAGCTTGGCCTCCTTGTTGATGAGCTTCTCATGAATCTCAATGATGGAGGGAGAGACGTCACGCCCTTCTACTTGATCTGCGACGGTCTTGTACTCTTCCGGGAGGCCATCGACAATGTACTCTATTTTATCTTCGTGATCGAGAGGCTTTCCAAGAAGTGCTAGTTGGTCAAAACGAGTGGTGAGGCCTCTCATGTAGTCGTCAATTGTCTTGGCTCCTTTTGTGAACTGCTTCAATTGGAGACGGAGCTGTTGAATGTGCCCACGGCTGGGAGTGGCATAGGTTGCGTTGAGAGACTTCCAGACATCTTGGGAAGTTTTGGTGTTTGTCACCATGGCTTGAATTGATGGAGAGAGGGTGCCGATTAAGGCACTGTAGATCAGGCGATCTTGACGGCGCCACTTCGTGAAGGCGGGGTTGACGGAGGTCGTGTTGTCGGTGGTGACTGTTTCCTCCGGCGGCGGTGTGGTGCCATCAAGGTATCCAGCGAGGTCGTAACCGTCGAGGAGAGCTTGAACTTGGAGATTCCAAGTCATGAAGTTTGTTGTTGTCAGTTTGGTGATGTTCACCATGTTGACATTGAGGAGGTTTTGAGTGTTGACGGCGATCTCAGAGGTAGCAGCGGTGGCCATTGTTAAGGTTTTGAGAAGAGAAGAGAAGAGGCGAAGGAGAAGAATAGTGAGATAGCGGCGGTAGAAAAAAAAATATATTAGGGTAACCGTTTAGGCTCTTGATACCATGATAGAATATATGGTTCGATGATTATTAACAGTACAAGAGATGAGAATATATACAGGAGAGCACAAGGGCTTCTAGGTATAGCTAATAACTCTAGTTTCCTATATTACAGGGATTGTGATACGGGACTTAAATGGGAGAGATATCACATATCCTTAACATCATATGCCTACTTAATCCATAATACAAACAAACATATGTTCATATATAGTTTCATACCCTAAAGCATTAAAGGTGAAAACGTGGTCCAGGGGTATCTTCGACTTCAAAATACAAAAATCACGAGGAGTGTTTTTCTTTCAGAAATGTAAATTACTCCTGTGTAAGTTTTTTAAAATTATGTGTAACTTAATAAGTCAATAAGAGAAGAATAAGAAAGTGAACAGCTCAATAATTAATCAGACATGCAGTTATTGGTATACGTTCTTACAAGCCATTCACGATGTCCTTGAAGCCCTTCAATATCCAACAGCTTGACAGCAACAGGCTGAGCCTTGAGGCTTTGTCGAAGATTCTCATCGATGTAACCTTTATAAACTTTACCAAAACCACCTTCTCCAAGAAGATAGTTCCCAGAGAAACACTGAGTGATCATCTTGAGTTCACACATTTGAAAATCCACCAAATCGGCTCCAAGAGTCTGTACGATATCTTCATTGATCCTAGCCGACGAAGAACGACTTAGATCAGCAAAGGAGAGCCGTCGGAAGGAAGGAAGTGGTCCAAGATGGTTCTTGGAGAACTCTGATCTTGAAGGTCGCAACGGCTGAGATTGCCAAAGACAGCTTGGTCATCGACGGAGCAACAGTTTGAGGCAAATGGTTTCCATAACGGTGAGGATTTCGTAGATGTTGTTGAGGAGTCTCTCATTGAGAAAGATAGTTTTAACTAAATGTTTTTAATAGTAGGAGTCAAAACAATGGTGGGTTGGTTGGGTCTTATACTCTTATTTATAGATATGAAATAAGGACTATTGAGTATATAAAAAAGAAGTGTAAAATGTTTTATAGTAGAACCACATATCAAAACCAATAACTGAAGAGGTCCAAAAATCGTCAATAAACATTGCATCAGACATATATTAATTTCCGTTAAAGTGTTAATTCAATTGCAAATTGCAATCTATGATCTTATCGATTGACACACAAAAAAACAGTAAAATAAATTAATATACTAGGGTGAATTAGTGTAATATACAACGAACAAAAATAAATTAAATAAATAACCATAAATATTAGATGCGACAGTTATTCATTTGAGTGGACATTATTCTTCTTTTACAAAACTTTGTCAATAATAGGCTATGATTACAGAAATACAATATATCAAAAGTGAAAAAAGGTTGTAAAGTTACATTTATATTTACTAAATATAATAGAACACAATAATATATATATGTATATATCTATATTTTTTTCGTATGTATTTTATTTTGATAAATATATATATATATATATATATATTGATATGGTATATATTTAAAAATTAGTTTATGTATAGTATTTAAAATCTATATCTATTTTAAAATTTCAAAATATGCTATATTAGAAAAAAATTATGTCATTACTCTGTAAAATACAAAACTGAATAATTGTATTAAGCAAAATTAAAAGCTATTATTTTGGTCAACAACTAACAGCTATTAAATGTTGAAAGGGAAATATTATTATAACAAAAGAACAAAAAAAACCTTCGACAAAACTTAGATATAGGAATGAAATGCTAATTAATATATAATGTGCAGTTTATACTCTAACAATTGAATTCTAATGTATAGATTGTACTCTAACAACTTAATTCTAATGTACTGATATACATTGATTTAGTTATAATTTTTCTTGTTATAGGATCAAATTAATTTTCATATATATTATAAATTGTGAGATAGCGGTTTTGTTTTTAAGTGAGGGCAAGACAATAAATCAAAGATAAATAGGAAAGTGTAGCGACGTTCTTTCTTTTAACTATCTTAAGAGCACCTCCAATGGTGTTACCCACTATTGGAGTCCTTAGGAATATATTAATTTTTTCTTTTTTTGAATAGTTAAAGACCCCTATGTGAAATATTGCTTTAATGGTGTTCTTCATGGTAGAATCCTTAGAGATTAAAAAATAATATAACTGAAAAATGTAAATATAAAATTTTAATTTTATTGAATGATAAATGTAAACATATAATACTTAAACATCTTCATGATTATCAAACTTGTTCCAAATATTTTCAATCAAATCATTTTTCAATTTTTCATGTATACGCCGGTCCCGAACATGTTGTCGTGCGCCAATAATATTTCCGAGATTTGAAGGGATCTCGGTAGAATATGACATATCCACTTGTGAACTCCGACTTGTCTCTCCTACTTCGAACTCGGATGTATCATACTGAGTGTATCCATGGCGTTCATCTTCTACTATCATATTATGCAGTATGATACATGTTCGCATAACCATCCCTATTTGTTTCTTCTCCCACAGTATTACCGGATTTTTCACAATAGCAAACTGAGCTTGCAATACTCCAAACGCATGTTCGACATCTTTTCGGGTTGATTCTTGAACCTTAGCAAATAATTATGCTTTAGGACCTTGAGGATGTGAGATAGATTGGATAAATGTTGACCATTTTGGATATATCCCGTCCGTTAGGTAGTAGGCCAAATCGTAATGGTGTCCGTTGACCACATATTGTACTTTTGGAGCTCGACCTTGCAAAATATCATCAAAAACAGGGGACCTCTTGAGGACGTTAACATCGTTTAAGGTACCCGGAGGACCAAAAAAGCAAGCCATATCCAAAGATTTTGTGAAGCCATGGCCTCCAATACAATTGTCGGCTTTCCTGATCCCCGGGTATACTATCCTTTCCACATGGTTGGGCAATTTTTACACTCCCAATGCATACAGTCGATGCTTCCAATCATCCACGGGAAGCCGCGTATCTCTCCAATATCGAGTAGTCGTTAAAGATCCTCTAGAGTAGGTCTTCGTAGATATTCATCTCCCAAAAACCGTATTATGGCTTCTGTGAAATTGCTTAAACACGAAAGTGCAGTGCTTTCACCAAGTCGGAGATATTCGTCGAGGGCGTAAGCTGCACAACCATAAGCAAGCATACGAATTCCTGCCGTACATTTTGAAGTGTAGATAGACCTAAACTTCCAACGGCATCACTTCTCTGCTGAAAGAATGGAACATTTGCAGAGAGGCAATCGACAATACGCATGAATACTGACTTGTTCATGCGAAAACGGCGTCTAAATAAATGAGGCGGGTATGTGGGATCTTCACTGAAGTAGTCTTTCCATAGACGGCCGTGGCCCGTTTCGCGGTCTCATTCGTGATATTGACGTCTCCTCGGTCTTGTTCTTCGATTCACGACAATGTTGTTGTATGATTCGTCAATATATTCATCGACAGCCTCGTCCAATATTGCATATAATCTTCGATCGACTTCGTCTGCCATATTTTAACTATCCTCTCTTCAAATAAAACCAAGAAATAGTTAAATCCAAATTTAATATAAAAGTTGTGGTTATTATATAAGACTCTTAAAAATTACAATTAAAATTTACAAAATTTGGTCACAACATAGTTAAAACCAATTGTTAAAACCAAGTTATTTATCTTTTAAAAAAAATTATGTAGCACAACATAGTTAAAACCAATTTGTTTATCTTTTTAAAAATTTTGTTGTATATATGAATCGCATTTTTTAAACAAAATTATGTAGCACAACATAGTTAAAAACAATTTGTTTATCTTATTAAAAATTTTGTTGTATATATAAATCGCATTTTTTAAACAAAATTATGTAGCACAACATAGTTAAAACCAATTTGTTTATCTTTTTTAAAATTTGTTGTATATATAAATCGCATTTTTTAAACAAAATTATGTAGCACAACATAGTTAAAAAAATTTTGTTTATCTTTTTAACAACAAGTTGTATATATAAATCACATTTTTTAAATTTTGTTGTATATAAAAATTTGTTGGCTGTTTACTTTTTTAGTAAATGTTATTCTTTCTTATTACTTGGCTGTTTTTAAACAAAAAAATTGTTGGCTGTTTCATTGATAGTTATACATATTTGTTAAGCATATCAATAAGTTTCCGAAAATAAATCACCATCAACAAGTTCCCGATTTCTTAACAACAACAAATGTGAACAACAATGTCTTAACAACAATTTTCTTCAAGTCTTAAATCGAAGCTTAACTACATTTTCTTAACAACAATTTCTTAACAACATCAGTTTCTTAACAACACCAAAGCACAACATCAGTTTCTGATTCCTAGAGCTTATTTAAGCTAGTCTATACAACAACAAGTTCAGTACAACAACAACAACAAGTTCAGTAACTTACCTATTTTCAAAGCACAACAACAAGTTCCGATTCAAAAGCATAAACAAGTTTCTGATTCCTAGAGCTTATTAAGCAAGTCTTACTTCCAAGCACAAAACACAACAACAATATAGCACAATATAGTCGAGACTAGTAACTTACCACGCAAAGGAGAGCAAAGGAGAGCAAAGGAAATAGCACAACATAGTCGATACTTCAAATTAGCAATATGACAAGTTCTTACTACAAGATGAGCAAATGGAAATAGATCTAAAGCCGAGTCTACAAACAGACTTTTATAACATGAGAAACTAAAACCGTGAAGACAGAAGAGTACAAACTGAACCCGTGAAGACTAAAAGGACCCGTGAAGACTAGATTCACGTGTTAAAACAGGAGATAAAAACAAACTACCCGTGAAGACTAAAGGATGAGACAGCAGCTTTTGTCTTGTACATGGTCTTGTACTAGACCTGAAAAATAGGAAAAACTATGGTTAGAAAAAGTTAAAACATAAGCATATATTAAGATAACAATTAGAGCTTAACGAACAATTATCACATCATTTCTGAAATTAATTTCAATTTCAGAGCAACTTCCTCCTTAGAGAGTGGCTCGAGCTTTGTAAGCAGGCTTTCAAGCACGTTTTGTCTAGAGATTTCCTTTTTAGTCTGCAGCAGTCTTTCGATCTTTGAGAGCTCTTCGTCTTTTCCACCTTTGTTTTTCTTAGCCTTAGCAGCTTTAACACCTATTGGTCTTTCTCCACCTCTGGCACTTGTTTGCGCTTCTCCTTACCATTGTCCTTGTCCACATACGTCGCGCACCATTTGACATGATGTCTAAGCTCCCTCCACACATGTTCCATACTGAACTTGATCTTCTGGTCATTGAAGAATAAATCCAAAGCAGTCGTCATCACATCATTATCACTTTGGCCACTTCTCAAGTCCCTCAGAGCAGCATCGTAGCATCCAACAAACTTCTGTACTTGCTCGTTAATAAGAGCCCACCTCTGCTTGCACTGTCCAAGCTCTCTAGGTGTTGTGCCAACGAGCAGAGGGCTTGCATTGTAGTACTCTACAATCCGTTTCCAGAACGCACCAGCTCTCTGCTCATTGCTCACCGGATCTTTACTGGTGTTGAGCCACACACCTATTAGGATCTTATCCTCTTTCGGTGACCAGTTCCTTCTCTCTTTCACACTGGTGTCTACAACAGTTTCATCAGGACCTTGGCTACCGAATCAAGCAGGTTCGGGAGATTCAAGGTCAACTGAAGCTTGACTGTTCAGAAGGTTTACAAAACTGCTTTGGTTATCCATTGTTTCGAGAATGGTTTGTGTCAATAAGTTTCCGACACAGGGTGTTAAGTAAGAGACGTCTAACTAAGGAAAGTTAATGTCTAATGAAATGGGAGCAGTTAGGAAGGTAGAGTGCATTTAACACCAATCAAATCAAATAAACACCTATTACTAACGTTGTAAAACATTAAAAACAATCAAATCGGAGGGGTTAGGAAGTTAGA